GTCGGTATATGGTTTGAAAGCACAATTTTTTCTCCATCCATTGTATATGTTTTATATTTTTATTCTCAGGAAATCAACCGTATATTTCTTTGAGCCATCCTTTTGATTTTTCTTTAATCACATCATGTAGCAAGCATTATACAATACATTTTTATTTTTGTTTCAGTATAGCGTCGAATAAAGTCATTTCTTCTCCCACTCACAAAAATGTTTCCTCATCTGTAACTTTTTCAATACATTTATCCTCTCAATTTTTATCGACTATCCACTCAGCATTCTAATTTATATGGATCCTATGACATACTTAAAATCCTTATTTCTGATCCAAATAAAACGATGTCCCAAGTGTTTTATTTTAGTCGAGATCCATGTTTCTCATAAATAGAGTAGAAATGTATTTTGGCATAAATTTATTAAAAGATTTGAAATAGAAACAATGTGAGGAATATATTTTTATATATTTTTTCAAATGATACATTTGACTTGGGTGTAGAGCACCATAAAAACTAATAAATATATATATATATATATATATATATATATATATTTAAACACTGATCAGAAGAATCCTAAAGGGTCTTAAAAGCTGTTTTCTTAACTACGTGACTGTTTCAGCAACCAATTCTATAGTTGATATCCCTATTTGATAAAATTTTATTATTTTTATATTTGATGAATATTCTAATAGTGAAAACTTTTTATTTGATGCAGCAATGCTGGTAAATACTATTTTTACCTGGAAACATATTTCCATCTATATTTCCAAGTCAAAACTGATGACACTACTGCTTGACATCAGGCTGTCCAAAGCGGTTATTGAACATGCAACGTTGTAGTCGAAGAACATAGCTTTATCCACTAGGCCATAATAGGGATGCCTTAAAAAAACTGGGAGGCATCGTGCTAGTACCGTAATTAAATATTTTGTTACGGAACCTAAAAAAAAATACACAAAATTTGTACAGATTATTAAAATCTCTATAAAATATCTGATAATTTGATGTACATATGTCCAATAAACATTTTTGACCGCCAAATGACATTTTTTTAACTTATTTTTATTGAAAGTCCATTTAACCGCTGGACCGCTGGACCTGCCTTCCCAAAAATTTAATCAGTTCTTTCTCTTGTCAATATAAGTAAAATGTTTTTTGAGTTATTAAAATCGGACGCTAGACCTGCTTTCGCCAAAGGCAAAATGGCAAAAAGTGCCAAAAACGGTAATTCAGTTTTTGAGAGAACGGAGCGTCCGATTTGAATGATTCAAAAAACATTTTGCTTGTATTTACAAGATAAAGAACTGATTAAATTTTTGGGAAGGCAGGTCCAGCGGTTATGGACTTTCAATAAAAATAAGTTAAACTAGTGGTGCATGGCATCGCGCCTAAAGGCAAATTGCTGAAACTTCCCGTACCAGAATTAAACACTCGAGAAATAATTTTTTTCGATTCATTGGCGATTCATAAATTCAGTTTCAATTTTTTGGCGATTATTTTAACTTACCCTACGGGAAGTTAATAAATATATACAACGAGCCTTTCTCAGCCTTCTCGTTCGCAATGAGCAAGTAAAAAAAACAAGAACGCATTTAAATAAAATTAAATTTTGTTGAAAAAAATTATTATTAAAAATAATAAAATACTCCTAAAATTACATTTATATTTAATTACTTTTTAAAAATAAAAAAAAACGAAAAAATTGCCCGATTGTTAGTATTCGTTTTGTGAAAATGTCATAAGAGAGATTTTTCATTTTTATGGAAGGTGATATTGCAAAACAATGCATGATATAGTACTGAATGTAATTATACGATATGTTTTATCCAATTATTTTTTGAGAGCTATAGTTTTGACTTACAACTATTAACGCCACAGCACATATCAAGAATTCGTTCTAGAAATAGATTTTAATTTTATTTTGGCAAATGTTCCTTCAAAATGTAACATTGCAAGCAGCCAGATGAAAGCTAATTGCATTGTTAGTTATAGCCTGTCGGCTGTTTTGTGGATTTCATAAATTAATTAGAACTACGGTGTCCATATTAATTAGCAATGCCATTAAAAATTATGAGGTGTATTTTGAATGCTATTTTAATTTTAAATAATAATTAAGTATATTTTTTAAAAAAATATGTTTGACTAGTGCTTTGTTTGATCAATAAGTGGACAAATAGATTGAGCTGGTAATCATAAGATTCCAGGTTCTATTCCCACCTTGAAAAGCTTGATATCAAACAGTAGTAATATCAGTTTTCTATGATAAAAAATGTATATATCACCATTAGAATTGGAATACCGTTCAAGAACTTTTAAGAAATCAACAAATTTTCCGAAAGGAGAAGTTGATGTTTTCATAAAAAAATCCGATTCGCTAATTTTAAGTTTTCTCGACGTTTCAAGCCATTCTTAATCGAATGAGACCAAATATGGAAAAAGTATGTGTATGTGTATGTTTGTGCGTGCGTATGTGTAAACATTTTTTTTTTACCGTAAATCGACGTTTTCTCAAAAACGGCTGGATCTGTTTCAAAAATTTAAAAGCCATGTGCGACAATCGGCCGAGCCGTTTCTTTGTAATTTGCAAAAAAAAGTGTTAAACTTTTTGTCCATGTTTTAGCTCACAATCCTGAAAGGATTTGAAAAAATCAAAAACTATTCAAAAGAATTGGTTGAGAATAATACTGATTAGTTTTAGGTAAAGATCGACCAAGCTGTTTTCTTGCAATTAATTGTTGAAAAAAAAAATTTGCCGATTGTTATGAAACTTTTTCTTACGATAGATATCATGGTCTTATAGAACATACTGAAATATTAACTACGGCCCTATGGCAAGTAGTTTAATTTTAAAAACTCGTCAAAGTTTGAAAAAATATTATAGTCAAAATTTGTGTCAAAAGTTGATTTCGTGATGTGATTAGTCAAACATTGTCAATTTATTAAAATTACAATTTTAGGACATATAAATACTTTATCCAAATATTAATTTCGGTTTATTAAGTCAAATATAACACATTTCGAGAAGTTCGTGCAACTTGCCTTCAGGCTAAATGCCACTTTTAACTAGTTAGATAATATTCATCCATTTGTCAGTTTGTCACAGCTATTATTCTTAAAAATTAAAAAAAAATAACGATCTAATATATTTATGCATTTATAAATATAAATCGATACCTATTGAGTTAACTATTGACAACAATATAGAATGTAGAACAAATGGAAACAAACCCATTTTTATTCGACGTGATTTATCTATAATTGTGGATTGTTAACAATCTGCCAAAACTTCAACAATTTTACACATTTAGTAACTGCAGGATAGATCAGAGATGACTTTTTAAAATTGGAGTTTAAAATAAGAGCTTTAGCTCCTATAGTTTCACTTGACAAAAAAATTATTACTATAGTATAATATAGATAATGAAAGTTAGTATCGATTTCATTCAAACTTTTAAAATAATTTCCATAATTATTCGCTTAGAACCGCCAGCAAAAAAGGCCAAATTCTACCGTTTTTATGAGAATCCAAAACAAAGGTTTATGCAAAAGTCCAGTTTTTTTCTTATTTGTGTATTTTTATGTGCATGCAAAGTCTTCATTTATTAAATATTATCTACACCGGAAATTTACGCCTGTAATTCTAATACATATCTAAGACATTGTAAACGGTTTTATTGAATGAAACTCCCAAACTGATAATGATAATGTTATATTTCGATAAAATATTTGACATTTTGGATAACGATTCATATAAAGCAATTACATAATTCATAATGCAAATAAACATTTCATTACAACTCTAAGGACTAGTTAAAATAACAATACATAAATTCATTAAGTAAAAAAGATACAAATTCGTCAAAAATCAAACAAAAGTCAAATAAAATAAGAACTATCGAAAAAAAGTCGTAATAATTGTCATGAAAGCTATGACGATAATTTTGATGAAGATGAAATAATAATAAATAATAATACAAATGTCCTTAATAAATAATAATACGAGTACATAAATTTACAAATAATATTTCAGTAATGTCATATAATGAAAAGCTCATAATGCAACTAATAACAAGGTTTCGTATTGATTTTTTTTTTCAAATGGCTTGTCGTTGCTTCTTGTGATAACTGCATAAATTTTCTAATGCATAAATAACAATAACAGTAACGTATTTTATATATATTCAGATGATTGCAACGACATTTGTGACTGAAAACCGTAAATCCTACATCATATAAAACAGCAAATAATGTCCTCTGTATCTTTGTAACAGCGTTTTCATAGTAATGGGTACAGACGTTGTCATAAATCTATCATTTACTATAAAAACGATGTTACGTGCATCGAAGACGCAACTCTTATTTCATTAAATAAAATCACAAACATAAATATTTTAAATACATATATACAAGTAAAACATTTCTTGGTCTAAATAATGCCATATACTTTATGATAATATTTTATATTAAAATGTTTCATTATCAAATTACTAATCACTTACGGATGTCAATAAACAAATCTAAAATGATGATTTAACAATATGTTTATTGTTCTCTTATTTCTTTAAATTTATCACTAATTCTTATATCTTTGATCTACAACAAAATAAATTATCGCATGTAAAATAATGGAGAGTAATTTTCAATTTTCAAGCAAGATTCCATGAAAGATTTAATTTAGAATTGAGATTTGAATTAACAATGTTTAGTTCAGAATAGTACTTTTATAATGGAAAATATCCATATCTATTTTCAAAATGTGTGCAAAAATATTAAATATTCTCAATTAATATTTCTCGATAGCCTTAGTACAAGTCTATAATTGTGTTTATAAACATTTATAAACTCATTATTTCCAAATTATTATGCCGTTACTTACGATCTTACGTAACCGTTTTTTTTTTTCAAATAATATTCGAACATACCTAAATTCAAATATATAAGCTTATAATTTTCTAAATACTCGAATCAATAAAATAAAACTATTAACTATATAAATCTCTAGAATATTTTCTTTAAAAATAATTAAGTACATCAAAAATTATAATAAAATGGCAACATGTGTAGTCTCGTTACTATAATTTCAAAAGCGTAAAATTAACTTCGAGTATAGAATTTTACAAACCCTAATCAAACTAGCAAAATGTATATCACTGTGCGGCGTTAATAGAAAATCAAACAAATTATTCAATCTAAAAGCAAAGACAAAAAATTCGTTAACGATAAATTTATATTCTACATTCATTCAAAAGATCCATTCTACAAAAGCATTCAATCAAAAACTAGCCCACAAATTGATAACTCTATGGTAATAAATAAATCCGTTAAATCTATCGCGAAAAAATAAAAACTTTCATGGCAAGAGAAAAAAATTGGTATACAATCAAAATTAATACAAAATGGTACTAGTATTTCTAAATTCAATTGCCGTACTAGTATACTACGCCAAAACCTAAAATATCAAACAAAAATTAAATGTTGAACTATTTTTTTAACTGTTTCATAAAAGTATAAGCCACCAAACAAGGCACTTCTACCTACAAGAAAAAACGCTATTCTTTTCCTTGATTTCAATGTTGCAAAATATTTCACGGCCAAACTCTTTAAAAGTAAACACTTCCTTACAATCACCTATTCACTCATAAAATATGGCATCAAGTTAGTATCCGGAAAATAATTTGATGTACATTTTTATATGAATCAGCTTGGAATGGCAATAATTACAAATAAGTAGATAAAAAAGCCAATATATCAAACCCGCATAACTACCTGGTCGACTTTATTCTAAATTTTCTTCTTTCAAAACTGAAGGGGAAGGTGCATTCGCATTATCTACAAAAGCACTAAAACAGATATCAAATTATTAAGTTACATACATCTTCTACCTTCCCATATTTAATTATTTATCAATGTTATTACCTGTGATCTGGTACAGAATTGGAACTTTTAGAATGAGATCTACTGCTTCCGTGGTAACTATAAGACATTGATGGATTGTATGTATTGTACATACCATTGCAGCCGCTAATATAGCTTTTTCTAGAATATGGTGACTTTGGTTCAATGTAATCTTTCGGCAAATGATAATCTCTATTGTGCAAAATATCTTTAGATGAGTGCATGCCAGTTAAATAATTTCCATAAATGCCATCATGTTGGTTCGTTGTGTATTTACTATCAGAATAATTAGAATAGGATCGTCCGTAACGTTTAGGAGTTCTAGTATCTAAGGTAAAATAATTCCTATTTTGAATACTGCTCGGGTTTAAGCGATTATAGTCGAACGCACTGCAAGATTCGCGTCTCTTGATATGCGAAGATACTCCATCATAATCCGATGATATCGATTTAGACAAATCTGCGCTTTTCTTTGGTCTGTACTTGTGAATTGTTCCTATGGTATCTGGTGCTCCTGTTATAGGGGATGTTGGTTTACTTCTCGTTCTGTCTGATTTGTTATCGAAAACCGATGAACTGTAATAATCTTTTGCACCAGGTCCGACTATGCTACTTTTACGTTTCTGTTTCTTTTCATTAAACCGCAAATAATAGCTTTTTCTCTTAATTCTATCTATGATACTTTCAGAATCACTATTTTCTAGTCCCGAATGGTTGCAGTAAGATGATCTAGAACTTGGGCGTGCGTAGTCCAATCGATGGTCCATTTCGGAACGCGAATCACAATTTGGCGAAACGTCGCTATAAGTAGAGCTAAGCATATGATTTTTATGAATCACACTGTCGCTGCAAATTGACCAATCATCAAATGCTAATTCTGGCTCATAGTTCGGAGATAGACAAGTAGTCGCGGATGATATATCGGAAGGATCTACATCTTTGTAATTATTATTCGAGTAATCATAATGATTTGTTAAATGGGAATTTGTTGAGCATTGAGATCTGTTGGATAAAGTTTCGCTTGTGGGATTTTCCAATACGTTTCTATAATTGTTTATTTTAGAAAAATCTAATTTCAAAGTTGTAGGTTTTTTAATCGCGCCATTTTGTGACATAAAATTAGTATTGGAATCAACTGGTTTACTATTAGTTGTGAGATCATTCACTATTTTACTACCTTCATCAACGTTTTCTGTTGCTTGTTCTGTTGTTTCAGTTTTAGCATTATTAGAAATCACAAGTGATTTAGGTCTAATTTGTGGTTCTTTAATTTTAAGTTTATTTTTTACTTTTCCGTTCACAACCGCAGCTTCATCCTTTTTACGAATTGATTCATTATTCTCCGTTTCGAGCTTATTAAATAGATCGAGTACTTTAGAAACACTTCGTCTACTAGGCTTCAAATGACCAGTAACGTCTTCCACACTAACAGCTCTTTTTATAAGTCCTGATTCTGTGTAACCAAGAGGGCCACGTGGAATGGATCTCTCTCGTAATGATTTGATAACATTTTCAATACGTGATTTACGCTCATCTTTAGTTTCGCCGTTAGAACTCGTGCATGATTTTGCAATCTCTTCATCATTTGTATTCTCACTAGCATTTGTACCTTTGGATATCAATTTGTCAGTAATTTTTGCTGCATCGTTTTCCACTACTTTTTTATCTGAATCAGTTTTAATATTATCAATTTTTGCAACGGAATTTGATTCAACTTGTGACGTTTTACTTTTTTCCTCACTACTTACGGATTTCCTTTTTAATAATTTTAATGCTGACTGCTTCGTAGTTGTTTTTTCTTTAACGCCTGTACTTTCTTTTGAAGATTTTTTTGATATTTTGGTTTTAGTTTCGTTACGTAATTTGTCAAAAGTTTGTCCTAGTGTTTGTAAAAACCTAGTTGGGGGAGTTTCAACAGCTTTGTTTGCAGGTTCCTTAATACTTTTTTGTTCTAATACTGGAAGGTCATTTATTTTATCAACAGTTTGATCGTTATTTATTTTTTTTTATCATTTACTATATTCTGTTCGTCTTCAACTTTCGTTTCTATGTTATTTTCATCTTCTTTCTTTAAAGATAATGATAATCCATTCTTGGTAGAAAAAGAAGAATTTGGATAACTTTTAGGTCGAAGCAGCTTCGACTCCTTTTTGCTTTGTTTGGTTGGTAACTTGGAAATTGAATTAGTTTTAGTACCTTTACTTATTTCTTCATTTGCATTAGATGTATTATCTTCTTTGTTCATAATTAGACTTTTTGGTCGTGCAATCTTTGATAATTCTGTACTAGATCTGCGCGTCTTTTCATTATTCGCAACAGTTTTCTCGGAACAAGTAGATTCTTTTTCTGAATGCAATGTAGATTCAGATGGCAAAGATTTTGGTATATATTTCAATGTATTAATATCTCTACTAAGACTACTGTCAGTAGAAACGCTGGCGTGACACCTATCCACGCTCCTATCTCTCTTCACGCGAATCTCCCTAAGTACTTGTTGCGTTTCCAATTCTCGTTCTCGTTTTTCTTTGGCGTAAGAACTTTCATCTCTTGGTGTATCAAAGAAATCAGGACGTAGAAAACGTGAAATACGGCGCTGTGGGGTTGGTTTCCGCGTTTTAACTCTATCAGTATTAGAATCTACCAGACTGCTTGCTTTCTGCAATGGAAGGTATTTATCAAATTGTCGATCTACAGAATTGTTAATTAAACCATAAGCGGAGATATCATTCTTTTTATTATAATTGGTGTCATTCTGTGGTTCCGCAGAATGTCTAAAACTATTTCGCAAAGAATAAGATTTTGGCGTAGTACGTAATTCTACTGGATTGGGAAGAGTTTGATCGTTATTCACAGTTAAGTTATCTTCTTTATCGGATTGTTGGCTAGTTTTTGGTAATCTTAGACTTAAGTGTCTACTTAATTTTCTTGCTTGAGTCGGAGGAAGTTGCGATAGTAATTGATTTTGTTGTCGCTGAGATAAATTTGGTGTTAAGCTTGTTAAGGCGTCCAATTCACTTTGCGATAACTTTAATCGACTTAAATCTAAATCAGCTAAATCCAATTCCAGATTTGATGGATCGTTTATAGAGTAATTGTTATTGTTAACTATGGGTATTTTGGAAGAGTCTTGATTAGATACTGTTCTGGATTTGCGACCTGTAACATTCAAACGATTTATTATAATTTGCAAACTTCGTTTAATTAAAATATCAAACATCAGCTTTTACACAAAATAAAAAATCAAAACTACAAAAACCAAAATGTTATAAAAAAATATATGATGCACAGCATTCAATACAAAATATTACTGTTATAAATTTCAATTCAAATTTTAAAAATGCTTATTTCGCCTAATTACTCCCAAACAGATAATAAAATCAATAACATAATTTAAAATTGTATTTGTGTATGCAGTCATATTGAATATTATCCAAGTAGCTGTTTAATTTAGTTAATATTTTACTTGATTTTAAAACTGTTTAAATTTAAAAATGAGTGTTCGGTGTATAGGTGTATTTGAAGAAAAAATGGAATAAGAATAAATAAAACAATTATTTGTTCAAAAAAAAAAAAAAAATCACTACATTGTACGTACTCTAGCTGTAGCGGCTAGCTGTAGTAGCATGGTTAGTTGTGGAGCCCGGTGGAGCTGCGGGCACATGCACTGTCACACGCACGCCCACTGCAAGCAAGCCCAGAAAATAACCCCACATATAGTGTCAAAATCATTGTGTATCAAATAATTCGATTATACAACATTAATAACGACAGCGATTACTCGATTTGCTGATTTTTTATTCAAAATCAACGAATACGATGTAAAGACTAAAAATTTTGTTAATATGTATGCACATACAATAGTCATTACTTTATTGTTTGATGATTTGAAACCAATAACTGTTTTGCGTCTCTTGAAACGAAAAACGTGCTGTACGGATTTTCTCAAGTTTATTACTAAACGATGTTTAATGTCATTAAGATATATTGCAATCACATTATTCACTCAACAATATTATTAAATCGAATAATATTTATTGAGCATTCATATAACATACTTTAGTTCGTTTGTTTCGACCACTAATACTTCAATGAAAAATTTGCTTGCATAATCAAGTCTATTTTTTAAATTTTGTCCGCGTATCTCTACAAAAGCCTATACCTATACAACTAAAAAGGACGAAGGCATTTATGTGGAATCAAATGTTAACATTAAAATATTAAACGCTGTGAAGTATATTATTGCCGTAAAGTATTTAAAACTTACTTTATGATATAAACAAAATTTAGCATTCAAGTTTTAAATGTGTAATCTGCAAAAAATGTAGAATCAGGAAAGTCCTGCATGAAGAGTAGAAACGTTCCACTTGCAGGTATACTAATTTTAATTGAGAGCACACGAGATTTTCTAATGGAACAATTTATACTTCAATAAACAATAATACTATCGGTACTTTATGCACATACATATTTCACTCCTAATATTATTCTGATTATAACTTATTACACTGCATGTAATAATCCTAATATCATAATCACAACCTAAATTTTCACAACGATTTGTGTGTTCGCCAATTTTAACTCTTATTTGCAATCAAGTAATCTGGCTGTCGATAAATTCAATATAATGAACAAAAGTAATAATAAATACTTTATTGAAATATATAACCTGATAACGAAAGTATCTAAATGTAAGAAAATTTCCCACCAAAATTCAATATTAATTTTTTGCATTCTATTCTTGATAATCTAATTATGGTTAATTAAAAGACTATCTATCAATGGGAAACAAAATAATTAAATGTGTTTTACACATATCAATATATTCGAATTAAGGGCATACCTAAAAAGCGCACAGATATAACAAGTCCAACATATCACAACAAATTTTGATACTATACAACATATTATACAGAAAAAGTATATACATAAGATATCACGTTAAGCAAATATAAATCATGGCAAAAATATTAATTTTAAAACATACTCTAAGTTGTAACTTCAATTTACATGTCTGATTAGCAATATCTTATGTGCTTCAAATATAGCTACTACATAGAGCCTTTAGTAAGAGGTTCTTCAATATAATTTTTCAAATAAAAAGCTTCAAAAAGTCAAAAATGTATACAAAATCAATCAAAAAGTTTTCAAAAATATCTTCCTTATTATGTGATTCCCTGTTAAAACATACCCCATATAAAAGGCCCTTTATTTGAATTCAATACAGAATTATTGCTAAATATTACCTCGAGGCAATGTATTATTAGAGCTCCAATCAGGTGATCCAAAACTTCCTTCGGTGTCTCGTGAAGTACTACGACGCCAAGAAGGAGCACCAAAACCGCTGTTCAATCGCCTACAAAAACGTATTTGATATAATACAGCACACATTGTTCAGGGACATTTAATGAATATAATATGTATTATAAAAAATATATAGAATTATTGACTGAACTCACCTAGCAAGTGGATCACGTTCCCAAAATGGTTTGTGTGATCCAAATGGGCTATTTAAAAGTGAAGATCTAGGGAAGGTAGGCCTTCCATCTTCATCCACATTCAAGCGTTGGGTTAGTGATCGAACTCTTGACAATAATGTGGAGAATAAATTTTCAGCAGTCAAAAGTTCGAATCCGTCATCGTCATCATCCTCTCCTGAGCTTACAGAATCACTAGGCTCTAAGAGACCTCGACTTGGTCTTGAACTCCTGCAAATGATGATAAATTATGGAAGAAGTTCTTCATTTAAATCTCTAATATGCTATTGAGAAACTATATAATTTCAATTGATACAAAGTTGGTGATGTTTATTTCCAAAATTATAACATGCTATTTAGAATGTAATATACATAAATACCAATTGTCAAACCTAAGAAATTTGTAGAATGAAAATGAATGATATATATACAAAATCATACTCCAAAAGAAATTATATGAAACACTAATTACATCTACGATCTTGGCCTTTGTTGCAATACTATAGAAATTTCAAATGCTCGCGATTCATTTTCTATATCTATTAGGAAAAATCGATTTCCTCAAAACCAAATAAAAAAAAATTAACTAGCATTTGAACACAATAGTGCAGGCTATACTCTCACTATGTGGAATAAGTCCCCTACTGCGCTGAAATTTAAATATAGAAAATTCATTCAGTTATGAAAACTAGCTGTAAGTGGAATTCTGTCTTAAGGCAATTAGGGCATCATGCCTTAAGGCAAATTGCTGGAACTTCCCGTACCAAAAATTATTATTTTTTTTAAAAACGATTAACATTTTTGAAAAAAAATTACTTCGAAAAAATAAGATTTTTGAGAAACTATAAATTTGACAAAAAATTACTTTTTTTTGAAAAAAAAAAATTATTTAAAATTTTTTTTTTTTAATTTTTTTTTTTTTTGAAAAAAAATGTTTTCTTTATTTTGACATATGTTGGAAGATCTGAACTTTTTTTCAAAGCAATCGTACTGCTTTAAATGCATAGAGACAAAATATAAAGCGCGTAAGCGCCGCGTCGCTGTCTAACGGGTAAACATTGGTACGGAACCCATAAGAATGTAAACAAAATTTATACTTATTGTTAAAATCTCTATAAAATATCTGATCATTTTTGACCCCCAAATGGCATTTTTTTTTTACTTTTTTCGTTATATCTCCGAAACCGCTAAACCTGCCCTTATAAAAATTTGATCAAACCTTCATCTTGTCAATACAAGTATAATGTTTTTTGAATTATTAAAATCGGACGCTCCATTCTATTAAAAACTGAATCGGTTTTGGCACTTTTTGCCACATATCTTCGGTACTGCTAGACCTACCTCCGCCAAAAACTAATCAGCACGTCTCCTTATCAATACGGATCGAATGTTTTTTAAATTATTCAAATTGCTTCATCCGTGTTCCCGAAATCGTCGACGAAAATTTGTATCCGCACACACATACATACTACGCGCACACACACACACACACATACATCCATTTTTTCTAAGGTATGCCAAAATATTCAGAAACCTCTGAAACGTAAAGATATATGAAATTTTTCATTTTCGATTTTTTTGCGATTACTATAACTTACCCTACGGGAAGTTAATAAATTACCTCAGTCTGTGCAGATGGAATCTACCATCCTCACCATCGCTATCTCGCCCAATAGAACTATGTCTGTGCAGTCTTCCAAACGTTCCCGCTTCATCACCTGAATCACTAAGTAGCGAATTCAACCTGCGCGCACCTGTCCTGTTTCTTGAACCCAAGGTACGTGTAGAGCTTTCTGATGGCTCGACGCTGGTAGCCCGTGGAGTTACATAACCACCACCTTCGACGGCAATCGGAATAATAACTTCACGAGGGCTCTTGCGTATGGGCTCAGCGCCTGCTGGCATCGTGCTGGTGGTTGTATTCGAAGCAATAGATTCACCACCGTCTGAGTCAGCTGTGTTTTGACGCGATAGAGATCCTGACTTCATGGATGTGGTACGTTGATAAGAAGGAGTTCGTGGCACTTCCGGATGCACCTGTATCTGAAAATGTAACAAATATATGAAAGCATACAAATTGATGGACCAGTGATTGACATAGTGGTCTACATCAACCCCTGGAGTTTGGCGACCATTTGTAAAGAGTATACGTCAGCGCAAAATAATTGCGGGGTCCACGAAATGTAAGTGGTTATTGCCACTATAGATATATTGGCAATTTAAAATTAAAACATCATATTTGTCTTACAAACTTTAGTTTTTTATTTTAAACTTAATTAATAATTTATTACTTAATATGTGTTTTTACATTGTTTTCAATACTCTTCTTCAGTACAGTTAGAAATTGACAAAAAATCACTACCAGATAATTTGAAGGTCTACACCATTTGCAAACTTTTTTTGTGTCGTGGACCTCTTGGGCTTGCCATGGACCTCATGTTTACCCGATATAAATTTTTTTTATTAGTCCAGTCATTTAAGCTTAAATTAGGTAAGAATCTCGGAATTCGAGATACCCAGCTGTTTTAGTGTAAGACACTAAAAAGTTATCTCAAAACCTCTACATATGGTAGATACACCCTACCATATGCAGGTTTTGAGACAACTTTTTAGTTTCAATTTACAAGTATTTATAGACTTACAGCTGGGTATATCGAATTCCGAGGCGAACTTACTATAATGACTGGACTATATATATTTCTAACCGTACTCAAGTTCAGTATTAAACATTTAAAATAAATATACATGTTAAGTTCATACATTTCTTAATTCAATTAAAAATGACAAAATAAAGTAAGTAAATGTTTATTAACATTTGGCGAAAATTTTTTAAGGTTTAATCTTACATCATCCGGCTCATAATGTTACTTCATTTTTTTACTCATGAGAAAATATTATATATGACATTTTATTATAGATAGTATAATATAGGTGAATTGATATTAACATTGTTGTTATGATCTACTACCATAGACCATAATTTTCATTTCGTGGACCCTACAAATTTTTTTCACTGACTTTGCGAAAAATATTGCAAACTGTCTACGACCCAAACAAATTTGCGAACTATATGCATAATCTACCATTATAATTACAAGTTTACAAGATACCATATAAGGGACTATCAAGCAGTTTCTTCATCTTTGAAAGAAATCTTAAATAGATGCACATTTTCAATATTTCCATATTATTTTGATTGTTTGTAACTATTATATAAAATAACTAGCAAACCCGACGAACTCCGTTTCGCCAACAGATGGTTTGTTTTTTTTTTTGAGTTTGTGATTTTTTGTTTGTTTTATATTTGAAAAAGAAAAATTTAATTTTATTATACAACAGTAATGAATTTATTTCGATTACAAAAATGAAATGTTTTTAAGTTGAACTTCTCTGAGTAAATGAAAGTGAATCCGCAAATTATCCGTTTCATTGAAGTGCTCTTTGGTAAATCACATTTTTTGTTTTTTGGTCTGATGTTAACACAAACAAAGCGGATGGTTTTCCAACTCGTGAACAGGCAACGTATAACTGCCCATGTGAAAAACAATGATTTTCTAAATAATCTATTTGAAATTTATCCCGCAAACACTAAGCGATTGGCCTTGGGACTTGTTATTGCGAACGCAAGGTGAACTGGAAATTGCCATCGTTTGAAGTCAAACGGAAGACCAGTCGGAATTATTGGTATGTCACCAAATCGCCAGCAATTTTTGATTGAATGGTGAAATTCAGTGCGTGTACATCATTATTCTTTGCGGCAAGAATTGCTCGTTGACTTAACCAAGCATAATTCTGATAATTCTCACTAATGTCATTACTCGAATTTTTAATGTCGGTGCGTGAAGTTCCAGCAATTTGCATTAGGGCACCTAATTTTCTTAGCTATAAACCTTGCGGAGCCCGAGACCTTTCCAACAAATGCAAAATCGGTTCGTGCGTTCTGGAGTTATTTCGTCAGAAAGGAAAACCCGACTTATTTTTATATATATATAGAAGATAATGGTAATATCATTAAACTTACTGGTACTATGCGTTCTTTGCTAGCATTGTCGCGTTTCTCTGGTTCGAGCGATGCAGAACGCATTTGTGAAACACTTCCCCACATACGATTTCCTTCGGTCGCCGGACGGACTGGAGCGCTACGCAAGTCACCTACTTTATGTTCGACTTCCGTGCGGAAAGTCATAGGCGGAGCATTTTTAAAACTCAAACGACCAGCGTCTGCTTTTGGTTCGGGTTTACGTAATTTGATTTCCGCCGTCGAAACCTTACGGCGAGGCAATGTCGCGGACACTTGCTGAGGCGAATCAGACGACTGCGATTTGTCGACACCAACTGTTTGTTCTTGGGTATAGTTAAATGTGTCTAATGGACCCTGCAAAAATATTAAAATTAAGAATTTTAATAGCTTTTTGGTACCAATGTTTGCATTGACAATTAACGGACGAGCCTCGTGAATTTACGTTTTACCATTCTGACCTCCTAAATTGGGCCATAAAGATATACGTTTTTGCGTGAATTTTTAGTATGTTGCATTAGGGCTTTTCTTTTGTACGCACTATTATTTTTTTACATACTATTATTTATAGTATTATTTAAGCTGTAACAAATTTTAAATAACGAGAAGCAAAGAGTTTTTAAAAAACTTATCTGGAAGTGATGTTGAATTGGAGAACCTTGATGAATTAAATGATTTTTAAATGATGACAATTTGAATCTCCCAGAAAAAATTGTGGGTACATTGGAAAGTGACCTTGGATATAATGAATGTATCTTCGTCAGAGAACAAATTTGTATATAATGAATTAGATAGAAATGAATAGGCACCAAAAGATCTAAGTCATAAAAAATATTAAACGCTTTATTAAATACTATTCTCGAGTAAAAAAAATATATGATTAATTTAATAAAGTTTCATTGTTGTCACAATGCTTTAAATCCATGCTTTCATGTTCATCTAATTTCCCTGCAATATGCCTGGAAACTAAGTTAGATAGAACAGATTTGACCCGTCCCTTAAGTGTTAATATGAAGTTCTCAATATATTTTTAAAGTTAAAGTAATTTTGCACAAATTGGAGATGTATTACAACATAATTATCTTTAACTTTAATTTATGAAGTTATATATTATATAATCAAATTCACATACTTGCAATTTCATCTTTTCCAATGTTCCTATTGATGGTCCCATCGAGGAAGATCTACCATATGCTCCATAAGGAACGGGCGGTTTGCGACCTCCTGAAGCAAAAAGTAATAATAAGATAATGTTTACAAATGAGTTACATGTTATTTGAATTTTGTTTCAAAAAAATCTTACCAATACATAACCGCGGTATAGCGTTAGATATCGTTTCAACAGCATGTTTCATTTGTTGTTCTTTAGAAATTCCATCCCTGGCTTTTTCATTGCTTGGCAATAATTTTTTATTCAATTCTTTATCTGATCTTTTCTTCTCCTCATTGATCAAGTTTATAGAATGTTCTAATGATTTCCTTGCATCTTCCAAAGATAAACTGATTGACAAATCTGTTTTTTCTTCTTCAGGTGATTTTTGTTCTGATTTTTCAGTAGCAGGTTCTTCTTTCTTGATGGCATTTTCCTCATTTCCTTGATTTTCAACATTCAAGTGGTTCATTAGTTTCTCTATGCTATCTAAAACGTTCTCGGACTGAGTTACACAGGCTTGTAACTCGGATTGTGGTTTCTTAAATGGTCTTGATGTTCCATTGATTTCAGGTGTGGAAGGTGGCGTGCAATCTATTAATAAACTGCCTTTACGTTCTAAAGTTGGCGGTGGGGTAGCTGAGTTCAAAGAAGCCCTTCTCTCAAACTGCTGTTTGTGCTCACCTACACTTACACCTAAAATAAGAACAGATATAATCATTAATTATATTGAAGTTTGCAGTAATATCTATTAAAGCAGTTTTAAGCCTTGTGATCGGTTTTAAAAATAGTTGTGCAGTTATAAACAGATCATTTTGTAAAATTTCTAAGAACTGTATAAATATTATTGTTATTCTTATCAAAAAATTGATTTGAAAAAATTACCCGGTATAAATATCTTTTTGGTTGAACCACTTTGGTTCATATTATTTGTGTTATTGAATTTTTCAGCAGCTTCTAGTATTCTGGACTTACGACGTTCTTTAGTTTTCTGTACGTTGTTTGCTGTGTTGTCTACATTTGCGTCATTTTCAACAGACTCTGAATCCTCAGCTTTTGGTACTATCTTCTTTTTGACGATTCTTGGTTTTACTTTGGCCATTGATTCATCTTTATTTTCTTGCTTAATTGCTTCAGTGTTATTAACAGCAACTGCCTCTGGAGCATCAAGATTATTCATGACTTGTGACACTTCTTTAGGGCTTGCCAATTTATCATTTTCATTTTGTGGGGGAACTTTTTTCTTGACAATCTTCTTCTTTTCTACTGGAGCTTTATCATCTTTTGTTGCCTTACTTCCTGGCTCTGTGATAGTTTCATTTGATTCAGTCTCATTTGAACTTGTTTTTGGTTTAACTTTTGATGGTTTTGCTACTTTATCAGTAGACTCCATAACATCTAATTTTCTTTTTGATGAATTGGCCTGTAAATTTCTCTGATGTAAAATATAACACATAAACAATATGCAAGAAGTGATTCACAATTCTTACCCGAGCTTCTTCTACAATATCAACTGATGGTGTTATGACTTTAGTTAAAGAGGGCTTAATACCATGTTCTCCTAAAATAAGTGAGCATATGAAGACAGTGTAATTAATTATTGTAATTTTATGTAATGCAATGTGCTTTGTATTTACCTTCTGTATCTGGTGGGGCTGCAACTTGTGAATCTAATACAGAATCTGCAGATTGAGATCTGGTTAACATGGCAGCCGAAGCAGAGACTTCCATAGCCTCATTTGCTTCTTTAGCAGCAACCTAAATATTGTTATAAAATCAGTAAATATTACATCTTTAAAATTTAATATATAAATAATTATAAAATAAAACAAATAGGCGGAGCACCCATTATGTTTCTTAACTTATATTCAGATTTGTAAATCATTTATGATAAATTTTAATTTACTGCAATTTAATATTAAAGCATTAACCATACCTGGTCTTCAGTTACCACTAATTTTTCTGAATCAACAGTCTGTGGATTGAGTGATAACAACAGATCAAGACGAACTGGTGTTTGACTAGCTAACTCTTCTGCTATGTCTAAGCAGGAATGTTCATAACCCTCATTAACCCACCTGTTATACAATATTAACCATTATCAGTTTGTAATAAAGATTTTGAATACATAAACATATTCAGCTTGAAATATGCATCTAATAAGCATATACTCTTATAATACAATATAGATTGATTATTAGCAGCAAGGTTTAAAAACAATGCCCTTACCAATGAGCACAAATTCTCTCAACATCAGCACGTTCCTTGGAAGATACGGTCAACATATCTTTGATTAATGAAGATGCAGCTATAAAACAATTGCAAAATTAAACTAAGATAGTTTTAGAATAAACAAACTACTATTCTCAGGTATTGATAATGCTTACGTGATTTCTTTTTTGGTTCAAAATAATCTCCAAGGCTAATTTGTTTAACTAATGTTTTAAAGTGTGTTCCATCAAATGGCATAGCCCCATATACCATAGTGTAAAGTAGAACACCAAGGGACCAACAATCAACCTACATAACAAAATGAAAATTAAATATATAATATTTAGATATCTTTATGGCTTCTAAAGTAAATTCAAAACAAGTCCAAAGGGAAAATAAAGTAAGGAATATATAGACAGAATGACATGGTGTTGCATTTTTTGAAGATACTTATTTATTTCATTCTATTATAATCAGTCTCAAATGTTTTTACTCATCTTAGATTCATTGAATACCAGTAGCATAGTCATCTTTTAATTAAGTAATAACAATAACAATGTTTATTAAAGAAAAATGCAAATTACAAAAATCATTTTGTCCTTATAATATGGACAAAATGATATAATATAAATACATACTGAGATACTAATATTCAAGAAGAGAGTTCTAAATTAAATAGTTTTGCCCTCTTTCAGACATAGGCAACAAATCATACAGCATAACCAACCTCCACCAGGCTCAGAATATGCTCAACAATAAATGCAAGTCTCTTCTTTTTACCGGTGGATTCTTTGGTCTGTTTTTAGAAGTAGTTAGAGTGAAAGTTAAAAGCCCACCACCTTTTGCAGGTATGATTTTTTTTTTTTCTCAAATGAACTGCGCTGTAGTTGTAAAATTGTATTAAGCCTTTTTGTCCATTGTATAAGTGTGCCATTTTGTCCAAAAGTTAACAGCAATAATGAATCAAAATTCCTGATATTTGTAATAGAATTGATCGAAATCACTAGTACTATCATATGTTCATTGATTTTAGTACATATAACAATAAATACGTATCAAAAAAATGATAAAAACACCTTTAAAATAAACATTCAAAAGTGAGATATATGTTTGAACTGATTACTGCAACAAAACTGAGACAAAGACGCTCAGCATGTGGTAGGATTGTGATTATAGCTTTCTTCATGTTATACAGTAGTGGAAACGTTACTAAAACTAGCACGTTTTTAACAAATAAAGCTAATGGGTCATTTTGTCTACATTTTCATATACCATTTAGTTTGTATTTCCTCTAATCTTTTTACCTCTGGTCCATTATATGGTGTTCCTGTAACTATTTCAGGAGATGCATAAAGAGGAGAACCACAATAAGTAGACAATGTTCTTTGCTCTGCAAACACATTTGATAATCCAAAATCAGCAATCTATAAATAAAAATATAATTACTCAACTGGCTCTGACATTTTGAACAGATGTAAAAATACAAACTTTTGCATTTCCATTTTCATCTAATAATATATTCTCTAACTTTAAATCTCTATGGCAAATTTTGTGTTTATGGCAGTAATATATTGCTGTTGCAATTTGTCGAAATATACGCCTAGCTTCTTCTTCAGCTAATACTTTACGAGAACTTAAGTAATCATATAATTCTCCTCCAGCTGCATATTCCATCACAAGCACCATTTTTTCACGATTCTCAAAAACTAAAATAGACCAACATCATTCAGATTAATTCTAATATTCGGTATATATATATATATATATAATACAAACCTTCATAAATATGGATTATATTAGGATGGCGTACAGATGACATAATTTGAACTTCCCGCCGAATTCGTATTAAATCAGCTGAACTTTCAATTTTACATTTTTTAATTGTCTTTATGGCCACTTCTTGTCCAGTCTCTTTGTTTATTCCTAGTTGAACTTTACCGTATGTTCCTTGTCCTAATTTTTTGATAATATCAAATCTGGGAGAAAGAAATGAAAAAATGAATAAAATTGAAATATGTACGACTCGACTGTATCAAATTAAATAAATATGAACATACAACAGTTTGTATTTCTATAATAAATTACAGTTTTAAAGACTAATTCTTAGATTGCCCTGGAAAAATGATAGAACTGAGTTAATCTATAAGCAAATATTAAGATCTTTTTAAGAGAAGTAAAATGGTAGTGTATAAAAAAACTATCTTTAATTGTAATAAAAATACTAAATCTTACAAATTATTTTAAATGTATTTATTGATTACAGTTTGATAAATCCTGATTAAAATTTATACCAACAAAATTCTTTTTTATTTTAAACGCATTAAAGACTGCTATAATTAACAATGTATAACAGAGTCATAAATATGCTCTTTATATTATTCAAATATAAATTTCTGAAATGTATAACCTCAGCAAACATAAGTAAACAAATTAAAAAATAATCTTATCGAAGCATTCAATATAATATGTAATTTCAATAGACTTCTTTTCCATGAATGTAATTAAACAAGAGTTTCAGTATAAGTTTGTGAAATGTATAATCATAGTAACCAGTGAATATCATTAAATAAATTAATCATTTTTTAAATGTAAAATAATCATCAAAACATTTCATTTCTATAGACTTCTTTTACATGAATGTAATTAAGAAAGAAGTTCAATATACGTTGCTAAAATATATATCTCTTACCAGTGAATATAGGTGAATGAATTTACAAAATAATCTTATCGAAGCATTTAATATAAAATGTAATTTCAATAGACATTCTTTTCCATGGACGTCATTAAACAAGAGCTATAATATAAGTTTGTAATATGTATAATCTCAGTAACCAGTGAATATCAGTAAATAAACTGCAGAAAGTAAATAAACTGCTGAAAAATAATCATACTGTAGCATTCAACCAAACAATTAATTTCTATAGACTTTTTTTCGTAAATGTAATTAAAAAAGAACTTCAAGATACGTCGCTAAAATATATATCTCAGTAACCAGTCAAATATAAGTAAACAAATTTAAAAAATAATCTTATCGAAGCATTCAATATTAGGTTGTCAAATATCTCCCTTCCGCTTTTTTGCTCTTGGTTTATAATACAAAAAGGCGGAAGGGAGATATTTGACAACATAATATAATATGTAATTTTAATAAACTTCTTTACCATGAATGTAATTAAGCAATAACTTCAATATAAGTTTGTAAAATGTATAATCTCAATAACCAGTAAATATCAGTAAATAAACAGCAGAAAGTAAATAAAATGCTGAAAAATAATCATACTGTAGCATTCAACAAAACAATTAATTTCTATAGACTTTTTTTCATGAATGTAATTAAAAAAGAACTTCAAGATACGTTGCTAAAATATATATCTCAGTAACCAGTAAAATATAAGTAAACAAATTTAAAAAATAATCTTATCGAAGCATTCAATATAATATGTAATTTTAATAAACTTCTTTACCATGAATGTAATTAAGCAATAACTTCAATATAAGTTTGTAAAATGTATAATCTCAATAACTAGTAAGTATCGGTAAATAAACAGCAGAAAGTAAATAAAATGCTGAAAAATAATCATGCTGCAGCAATTATTTTCTGTAGACTTTTTATCATGAATTTAATTAAAAAAGAACTTCAATATACAGTAAGCATAATCCAAAAATATTCATATTACAGCTTACATCAAAATATTTAATTTTTATAGACATCTGTCCCACAAATGCAATTTAAAAAAATAGCATTTATATGCAATTGATTGCTGAAAAATAATCATACTGTAGCATTCAACGAAACAATTCATTTCTAGACTTTTTTTCGTGAATGTAATTAAAAAAGAACTTCAATGTATGTTGCTAAAATATATAATCTTAGTAACTAGTAAGTATCGGTAAGCAAAATCCAAAAATATTCATATTACAGCTTACATCAAAATATTTAATTTCTACAGACATCTGTCCCACAAATGTAATTTAAAAAAATTGCATTTATATGCAATTGATTGCTGAAAAATAATCATACTGTAGCATTCAACGAAACAATTCATTACTAGACTTTTTTTGTGAATGTAATTAAAAAAGAACTTTAATATACGTTGCTAAAATATATAATATCAGTAACCAGTAAGTATTGGTAAGCAAAATCCAAAAATATTCATATTACAGCTTTCATCAAAAAATTTAATTTCTATAGACACCTCTATAAAATAGTTATCTCTATAAAAGATGCACTCTATCCCACAAATGTAATTGAATAAAAATTGCATTTATATGCAATTGATTATACATATGACCTGGTATGAAATATATCATTATTCATTTATCTGCATTGGTTTTATTTATCAAAAATATACCTTTGTCTTAACTTTTTCCTGTTATGTAGCACTCCTCCTGTATTTTCAATCCCGCTCATAATACTTTGGTCATTTCCATTTGGTTCATCCATTGCCATCTAAAATTTATAATACAATTATATATTGAATGTATAAAATATTAATTATATATGGAATGGATATACATATTTCATTATAAATATAATTATAATAATTTATGGTGAATAATGTTAGGTTGATAACAATATAAAACTCTATTAAAAGACATGTAAAAATAGTTGGATTTGATTATAATAAATATATTGATTTAAGTTTAAACGATCACATTTTTAATGTTAAGTTAAATTGTTGGCAATATATGTTATACTTCATTTGTTTAAGTAGTGTAAATAATAAACATAACCTCAAAATTACTTCACATACACGATTTTTGCAATATATTTATAATCTCACCTATTAATATGTTATAATATATAAAAACAGTGTCCAATAAATAAAGTGTATAGTTTTCAAATTATAAATATAATCGTCACATATTATAACAAATAATAAAAAATACACGACTTCCTACATATGTCATGAATAATCGACTTTTCTACTCTGGGAGCGTCTCATGAGCGAATCACTTTTTTGCAATGTCAGGTAAAAAATGTTTGCATTTATTACATTTGATAAGTTTAATAACATTTAATAATGTTATTAAACTTATCCATTTATAAACTAATTTCAAGCAAGTTATTTATGCTTTTGAAGCTGCGCAGTTAACATTTGATAGCAAAAGCTGTCATTCAAGGACGGTTTTAAATTTAGGAGAAAAATTTTCTCGTTAATACTTTATGTATCTGTTTTCTAAAAAAAGCATTCATAAAGTACGATGAAATATAGTTGAATTATGTTACTATTATATTACATTTTTTATAACAAATGTATGTATCTAAGTTACCCCAAGCAAAATTGCTATCAGTTTCACCGCCGTTTTTGAATTTGAAATTTCTGTTAGTAAAAAATAATATCATTCTAGCTTTGTATTGTTGTTAGTTTTTTACTGTAATGAGGATAATCTTTTATCCGATATATATGAAATACATATAAGGTAGAGCGTGTCTTAAAGGTCTGCGGGTAAAAAGGTCCACCCAAAAAACGGTAAAGTTAAGAATTTTCTAACAACAATATTTGAAAGTAGAGGGAAAAGGATGTACAACCAGTCATCGCTTTGATTCTTATGACGTCGCCGTCGGGAGAAAAACGGCAATGTTTGAAAATCCATAACAAAAGTATTTTCTTTCGTTGTTAGTTTTTTTGGTTATGAGCACTGTTGTTTAGTTTATAAGACCTTAATATAATTTTTAAGTTTACATTATGTAAATGTTTTATAAGATGTGTTATTAATTTTAAGTTAGATCAAACCGTTTTTCTTATGTAACCTCTATGAAAGCTTACATCTGGGTGGGGTAAAAAGGACCAACTGAACCATCATCCATGCAAAGGTGTAAGAATATAAAGCAGTAAATAAAAAAGTAAATTAAGTTAAAGCAATTTTACAAAAACATGAAATAAATTGTTATTCCAACTCTGCTGATGAATATTTTAGATAAAACACCAGACTTGATCTTACAAGTCTTTTATTTTATTTATTTACAGTATTATCTCTGTCAAAAATGCACCCATGAAATTTATATTTTGCATTGGTTGAATAATGTAGCTATTATTTTGTAAAATCCCTTTAAAAATGAAATAAGTCATTGGACCTGTTTGCTCCCTGGTCGTTTCAATTTATCCCGCCTATGGGGTAAAGAGGACCAAGTAACTAATTTTTGAAAAACAGCAAAAAATACATTTCTACAATGACGAATGAGCTGGGAGTTTTACTGAACATAGTCAGACAGTTGTTTATTTGATATGTGTTGTTTGTTGTGTTATAATTTGTTTGATTTTCAAATATAATTGCCCAAATCAAATTGGACCTTTGTGCCTCGTCCTCTATAAGAGCTTACAGCTGGGTGGGGTAAAAACAACCAACTCAATTTTACCCTTGCAAACGTTTAAAAATAAAAAGTAGCAAATAAAAAAGTAAATTAAGTTCAAGCAATTTTGCAAAAAAAATGTTATTCCAACTTTGCTGATGAATATTTTTGATAAAACGCCAGATCAAGGTTATTTACAGTATTATATTAGTATAAAAGATGCACCCACGAAATTTATATTTTGCATTGGTTGAATAATGTAGCTATTATTTTGTAAAATCCCTTTAAAACTAAAATAAGACATTGAACCTGTTTTCCCGCTGGTCGTTCAAATTTATCCCGCCTATGGGGTGAAGAGGACCAAGTAACTAATTTTTGAAAAACAGCAAAAAATACATTTCTACAATGACGATTAGCTGGGAGTTTTACTGAACATAGTCAGATAGTTGTTTGCTTGATATGTGTTTGTTGTGATATAATTTGTTTGGTTTTCACAAAATAATTGCTCAAAGTCAAATTGGAGCTTTATGTCCCACCCTACTCTATATATTATATTGGTGCTGGTTCTAAAAGACATAACTATTTTTAAACCCTAAATTGCATAAGATACTAAACAATTAATATTTTTACTGACTATAAAAGTCAATTTTTAAATAATGTAATTCTTTAAAGCTTTGATTTAATCTAATCTAGATAAATTTTATACATAGATGTTTTCGTTCATTCGTCTCCTAATTACTTTGTTTGCATTTCTCAGCATGTAAGATGTTTACAAATCAATAACAGTACGTGTACTGCAACTATTAAAATTAGTTTGAAACTAGTTTCTTGTAAGCGTGTGTCATATATCTTTTTTAAATGTTTTTGGACTGAACATTTGTACATTCGTATCTCTACCCAGAATTTTACGCACACACACATATATAGGGTTTGTAAAATTTTTTAGCATTTTTGCAATTCTGTTTTGACCAAGGAATAAACCAAACTTCGAAAAACAATTTTGATCTTACAATATTCTCTATATATAGATTTAAATTTCAACTTACAAGTAATTTAGATTTACTCGCTTGTGAATTTGATAAAGCTGCATGGTTCTAGAATTGATAGTCAAAACGAACTTTTTCATGGCTAAAAAATTTAACCCAACCTAATATCCTTAACCTTCTAAAATTTAAAGGCCTGAAAAAGACTCGGAAACCTTGTGAAAAATTTGACTCTATATGTGAGGTTGGTGGTCCAGTAGAACCCAGGTTTAATATGAGAAGGATTAGATATAAACTTTAATGAATTTTTATAATTAAACCACAGGCCTATGAGCACTCTTCAATATTATAAGGAATTTTTTTAACCATCAATTATATTACCATGCTAAGTTTTAGCAATTTGCCACATGAGTAAACCTGATTTTCTTATAAGTTGATAATTAAATATATTAAATTTCCGTTGACTTAAAATTCACATCCGAGCTATGGTTTCATGGCCAAAAATTTTAACCCAACCTAATATACTTAACGACTTAACCCTTAAAACTAAAGGCCTAAGAAAGGCTCGAAAACCTTGTGAAACATTTGACTCTATCTATATGTGGCGTTGGAGTCCAGTAGACCCTTAGATATACGAGGAGGATTAAGTATATAATTATAACTGTTTAAGCACAATTTTAAGCTAATATATATTTTAAATGTGAATAATTGACAAATGTTACAACTCGAATGAATCTCTTGCGGTTCAATCCTATTATAGTAACCATTATAGTAAGGTGACCATATTTTTTTGAATGAAATCCGGGACGGATTATAATGTGCACATTTTTTCGGTTCAAATTTTCTAGTTGAAATATATTTAAAAAAATATTGGCAATCAAAACATTTTTAAAAATCCGGGACAAAACACCTAAAACCGGGACAAATGTTGCTTTTAGAAAAAGCCGGGACCCAAAGCGGAAAATCGGGACTGTCCCGGCCAATCCGAGACGTATGGTCACCTTACATTATAGTAACATTTATCTTTGCATTCGTTATTTTCGAATGACTCAAAATTCTTGAACAATCTATTCAGCGAAACAAACTAGTCTGCACTATGCAAATAGATTCAGAGGAAAACATCAGTTGAAATTAATTCAAATCGCTCAAAGATGCCGATTTATATCTTTCCTTTGTTCAGAGATTGTCTAGGAAATACTTGTACAAATAAATCTTTGGCAATCAGAATCCAATGCCAATTCTCAAAATTTTCTTTAATATCGTAACATTTATGCGTTATCGGTATGAAAACGCGAAGGCGAAAGTATCGAGCCGCGGTTAATACGCCTCCGCAAACTGGGCTATGAGTGATACATCACGTCATTGAATACGTAGCTTATAATCGTCATCGGTGCGGGTCATCGGTCGAATAGTCTGCGCGACAGCGGTTTTCAGCGGACAAATGCACAGTAGCACACACAAATCTATATTTTTTAGCATGTATTGTTAAAAACGGTAGCCTGAATGTCACGTAAGGTTTAGGAATAGTGCCAATTATTATTTCATATCACTGAGTATGTAAGAATTACCAGAAACAACAATATTGCTGTTCGTTGCTTTCCATTCAGGAACTTGATGGAAATCTTAGTTTCATTGTGTTTATTAAACCGGCATCAAAATATAGAGTCCAATTAGAGTGAGTTATTTTGATGATTCTTCTAAACCCCTTAACTTATGATTTAAATTCGAACTTGGGGCCAAAGTTGTACAAGCTGGCGCTGCGTCCTTGACTATTTTCCTACCCAGTGTACAGTGTATTATCACGAAAATAAAAATAATTTTATGTTTTATGGTTTCATATAATTAAATATTTTCTATGCCCGTAATGCGAAATATTTGCTTCTGGTTCTGGCCCGATTATCGTACTTACATTTACGTTCGGCCTAGCCATCGTACGCGGACTATGCTCATCTTTGTAAGTTAAGGGGTTAACTATGTGACGTTTTAGAAGGTAACCCAACGGTAGTCCTGAATATATTCCATATATTTTTATTCTTAAAATTTTTGGAAGTCACTAAATTTCACTGAGTAGGTGAGAAGCACCATAAACAATAATATTGTTTCCTGTTGCTTTTCATTTAAAAAGTTAGTTGGCAATTTTCCGATAAAATAGAGATGTTATGCAATGCCATT